ATAAAATTTTCCTTCTGGCTCGACTGAACAGTATTGTTCTTTATTTGTTTTTAATTTTAATGCCAAGCATCCAACAAAGAAGATAATGTCAAAGTAATGTGTTGTAACTGCAGAAATCTGTACAGCTGATGTTTAATTTTTCACCAATAAACTGCTATATTTCTTCTTTTGAATCCTGTATGAATCTTATTCAATACTAGTATGCCATATTTGTTGTAAGCTTAACCACTCAAAGGCCTGGTTAAGAAGTTTGAGGAAAGTGAAGGCATGGAATGTGAATTTATCGTGGCGTTGGCCTCGGTTTTGATATGCTCGGCGGCTGCAGTCAATGTCCCATGACTGGTTGCAGCGGCTTCAGCGCCTTTGGTGTCGATGGGGGCAGAGGGATGAGAATTACATAATGATCAAGGAGTTGGTATTAGGGTACTAGTTGACAGGTTTTTAGATTGACATTGAGGCATTGTTTGTGAATGCGGAAGCGATGATGAGGCTGTGGTGATGCATGCCATCAATTAATTTTTAGTAACATGTTTGGTACGTCAATACACTATAGATTAAATGGTATAATAAAGTTGTTTAATTTGGTGATGTACCATAAAATTCAAAATCTTCTTTACGAACTTTTGACTCAATCGAATTGATGAAGATGGTATATGGGACGGATACGGGGCAGTACACACAATTAAAGAGCAGGCTAGCAGCACCTCAACATTGACCTGGTTTTCTAATTTGACTTTGATTTTGCATACCACCTCTAAAACTTTTTCTGGTTGATCAATTCAGCACTACTTATGTGTGAATTAACGAGTAATTCTCTTAATCGAAGTTTCAGGCTTTTTTTTTTTGGTTATAAGATCATTTTATGACAATCTCATAGTAATTCCTTATCTTTTCTATCTTTTTCTTTATAAGAACATATTAAGCCCTGTTTGGTATTGCTAAAAAATCTTATTAAAATTTAAGTTAAAGTCAACACTTAATTTTAATCATACATTTCACAATTTTTATTAAAATTTACTAAAAATTTGATTTTAATCTCTACCAAATAGGGGTTAAGTTTTGAAAAAAAAAAGAAACGTCAGCAAAAATTTAGACATGTGAAAGACGTATATAATATTGTCATAAAACTCGAGAAACGTCTCTATACAAAAATAAATATACATGTATAGAACTTATTTTTTAGCATAAGTCAACTGACAAAATGACCGGTAATATTAAGTGCTTTAAACGGCGGTACGTCCCCACATCTCAACGTGTCAACTGAACTGGTGAGCCTTCCTGCAAGTTTCAAACCACAAGATGATTTTGAAAACAATCAGGACCATACCACATCCTTCACAAGACAACTAATATCATTTCAGCTTCAACAACAAAGCCTTTGTGTTCATAAATTATAATGGCTCGATTCCATTTGGTTTTTTCGTTACTACTTGCTACCATCTTTATAATCGATGCAATGGATGCTTCTCCATCTGTAAATGCAGAAGAACAAAACCCACACAAACTGAGGCTGAGGGGTCGAACCTTACTTGAGAAGAAGCAAAAACACATAGCAGATCCACCAGAGATTAATGAGAGAGAGAGCAGTGAAGCAGACCCTCCAGAGAAACATCATTCTTCTTCTGATAAGTCAGTTGCAGGTGGAGGTGTCATCATTGGTGGGTTTGTCACTGCTATTTTTGCAGCTGTTTATTGCTATATTCAGGTCACTAGAAGAAGAACAACGACAACAAATGATCAAATTACTGTTTGAGCCTTTTATTTCTTCAGTTCTGTTTCTAAGTAAACTGAGAAAGATGCCAGCAATATATTAGGACCATATATTGTATAATTGTATTGGTTTTTAATTTTTCTTTAGTTTTTAGGTAGTTTATGTCTTAAGAAAAATTGTTACAATATGTTAGAAATTTTAAATATGGAGTATATAAAAATTTATTGGATTAGGACCATTAGATATCCTTTATTTTTCACAATTTCTTTTATTTGCACAAATAATATATTTCTGAGCAAAACAAATTAATATCAATGAAATTTAATTAATTATGAAATGATTTTAATTAAATCTTAATATTTTTTTTTTTTCAATACAACCAGGTCATATTAGTGAAATGTTATTGTGAAAATGAACTAATTTAATAAGACTTTAAAATATAAAACTACAATAAATTGCTCCGCTTTTTATTATTTTTTTTATCAAGTGTAAACTTATTCAATCAATTACAAGATAAAATAATAATGTGTTCTAACAGACCTACCTTGGCGCCGGGCTCAAAGGGAACGCTCCATCTTACACTTAGAAAAATAAAGTTCAATTCAACAAAATAATCAACAATTGTTAAGACTTCATTGAACCAAATTAAAGTTGACTAATCCAGTTGAGATTTCATTGAAAGTCAGTCACCAAAAATAAAACTAACCTAACAATATTAAGATTTTGACCCTGTTTGACAACATTAAAATGAGTTATTTTTTGGGGGAAAATGAGCCCCTGTTTGGTACACATTAAAATTTTTATTTTCATTATTCTACTCATTTTCAATCACACATTTTTCAATAAAATAATATTTTCCATCACATCAATAACTTTTTCAACCACAAATTTTCCTTCAATTTACTATTCTAGAATACATTCTTTTAAAATAATGTGGCTCAAACACACCCTGAATTTTCGAATAGTGATTTTTTTGAAGAATACGAGTTTAAAAAGTTGGAAATTTTTTTGGAGATACGTATAAAATATTTTATTGTGAGAATATATAATTGAAAATAAGTTTGTGGAAAAAAAAGTTTTGTTTTAATGACTGTCAAACAAGGGCTTTATGAGTTTATGTCATCTGTCCACTCGTAAAACTAGGCCCCTTAACTAAGCCCAATATTGGTCCAACTAGTACAACCAGCTGGCTTAAGAGGGAGGCTTGAAGGCTTCTTCTGTAGGCCTTCAAAATTGATATGATTAGCAGGCTGTTCCATCTCTTGTTCATGGCCAACCAGCCTGCTTCATTTAACAAGCACCACTCAGCCAAGAGGCTCACTAAATCAGATCCCACACATTTATCCATCTGTTCCAACACTAATGGGCCCTTAAAAGTGCACACCAAATCAGCTACAAATCCCTCTATAATCTTGGGCAGATCCCAAATCCCTCTTCAGCCCAGTAGCTTTCCCATCGATCTCAATGCAATCTATCTGTCACACTGAAATCTCCAAAAAATTTCACAATCTTTGATGAGTTGATAGAGTATGGATCCCACGCAACTTCGAGATCTCTGTTACTCCATGAAAATTTGTCGGTGGACCTCTTAAGACTTAGATGGTGTTTGGTAGAAATTAAAATTAGATTTTTAGTAGATTTTGATAGAAGTTTTTGAAATGTGTAGTTGAAAAGTTATGGGACCCATGAAAGATGTGATTAATATTGATTGTTTGACTTTGACTTGGATTAAAATCAGATTTTAATCCGGACCAAACACGGACTTAGTTCAATGCTTCCATCAAAGGGAAGACCCCTTAAAAAACCATGGGAAAGGCAGAAGTCTAATAACTTGTGTCATATGTTATGAATTAGAAACCTAAATTCTATTACACTAAGAGCAATTAGTTCAAATAGAAAAGAAAAGTAGAGACTTAAGAACACACAAAATTTATAGAGGTTCGTCTCAATGTGAGTCTACGTTCTCAATTCACGTACTGACTCCACTCAACGATAATAGATTAGGCTCTACGACTTAACACCATAGTCATTAGGTTGATACCCACTTGAACCGTTGCTAAATGTGAAGTAAGGAATTGATTCACCCCAACACTGTCCTCACTTATGCATGCTGAAGGAGAATCCCCGACTCAACCTTGTTAATAAAGCCAATCACAACCCTTTTTTTTTCCCTTAAAACTAAATTCTCTTAAAAAGTGCATCAAGATTTATCATATTTCATGAACCAAACAATAATTCAAGGAACACAAATTTGCACCAAATAAAAGTAAACAGGAACCCAAGCAAAAAAACATCGAGCAAAGTTCAAGAAAATCAATCCAAATGATATTAGGAATTCTTCAATGAATCATACCTTTGCAAGGATAGTTCAGTTTAAGTTGTCAAAGTGCAATTGCCTAGAGAACTTGACTTCAACCAGCAATCCTCGCAAAAGTTCGATCCATGTACAAAATTCTTTTTATCCACATCAATTTCAGATTAAGTGCAAACAGAAATTTAAAACATATTCTGCTCATAGAAATAAGGAAGTTTTTTTAGAACTTTGATCAAGAAACGTGTATTATACCTTTAAATTTTATTTGCATTCTTCAATGGTGAAGGCACTGGAGTTGCCTTTGTAGTTACACGGATTGCCCCATATGATAATTCTTTTGCCATTTCTACCTGTTTCAATCAAAATTACCATCACCGTTAAACCATACACAACATGATTTCAATTATATACTAACTCTAATTTCGACCTCTTTGAATCAAAATTATCATCACTGTTAAACTGAACACAGCACTTGAATCAAAATTACAATCTTTTTAAAACCAAACACAAAGCATGATTTCAATTACATACTAACTCTATTGCTCACTAGGGATTAAATGAATGAATACTAAACATTCTACAAGAAAAATCATTGAAAAGAAAAAAAAAAACAGTCAATAATTGTACAAATGTAAAAAAAAATTACAAACAAACACCGAGTAATGCAACGCCCAGAAAAAAAATGTAAAAATAAATATAAAATTTATTTACCGTCGCGTGTTCCGAACATGACCACCTTCAAATTAACACAAAATAATACCCTAACCAGTTTAAAAGAAAAAAACACGAAGCTGAATTACATAAATACCCTTCGGGCCCCTTCAAATCGAATCCAATTAAACACCCAACTGACCCGTAAAAACACCCAACGGTTCTTTTATTAAAACAAACTTTGGATCCAAGTTAAAGCCGGAGAGCTCTAACTATTTGAAATTCCCGCCTTAAATAAACACAACAGATCTTTTCTTGATTTATCTCTATTTCAATTACATTACTCTTCTCTCAATCTTGATTTCTCTCTGTTTCAATGACATTACTCTCTTCTCAATCTTAATTTCTCTCCATTTTGTTAAGTTTATATTTTGTATTGGCGATTCTGTGAACAAATTGATCAATTATTTAGATTTAGGGATTAAATTGTAAAGTTTCATAGTTGGTAGGTTAGCTTAGGGTTTGGGGTTTCATATTTGGAATAAGAAGGATTCACGCCGATTTTTCGCTAACTGTTCGTCGGAGTGATGCTCGAGCGATTGAAACAGAGACTGCCTCGCTCGACTTTCGCCCCACTGTCGCTCGAGCGACAGACCCTTCGCTCGAGCAAAGCAGCCTTCTCGCTTGAGCGACGTATTATTTGGCCAGGCCTAATTTTCTATTTCCTTGATTTTTACTTGGCCCATACTACCTATTTCGTCCAACCTATATATTGAACCGCCACACTTTTTGCAAAAGAGAGATTGAATATCATATCATTTAGAGAGAATACATGCTTTACAAGAATCAAAGTTCAATCTTTCCATTGTTCATGCGCCAATTATTGTGAAAACAACAAAGAGTCAAATCAAACACTGAATTGCATTCTTCGCTTGGGTCTGCTGCAAGATTGTGTCGTCAACCGTGCTGCATTAAAGATCAAGAGAGAATTTGAAGAACGAGGAGTTCTTTGGAAAGATCTACAGGAGATAAACTGCGTAAAGAGTCAGGATTGAAATTCGTGTGCTCATTCTAGGAGGAGACTGCTTTACAAAGAAGAGCCGAGTTTGGTATTCGTGTGCACAATCCAGAAGGGCTGCTTCTTACTTCAGACAGAAGATCAGAAGCTTGTGTTGTCAACTTTGCTGGTGGTCTGTTTCCGTGAACAATTTTGATGTTGTTTACTGCTTTATTTATTGTTTTGATATAACCGTGGTATTCAAAGATAGGCTAAATTTGATTGTTTGACTAATCACCTAGACATAATTAATTTGTGACATATTGCTAGTTAATTAGATTGATAATTCCGCATTTACACCTAATCACCCCTTCTAGGTGTAGTGGGTCAAATCTCGCATTTCTCACATTTCATTCTCTTTTCACTGCGAGAATTCACAATTTTAGTGTGAATCTTCAAATATACATATTTTACATACAAAGAAGATCACAATCATGGTGGATGACGAAGGTGGATCAGACAATCATTCCAGGCCTGAAACAAAAAAATTCATGAAAGATGAGTTAAAGTCCAAGAACTTGACGAGAAAAGAATGTATAAAGAAGAAGACGATGGAATTATCGGTTTTGTGTGATGTCAAGGCTTGCGCTGTGATCTTAGGCCCTGAAGGGCAGATTGAAACATGGCCTGAGAATCACAGCGATGTACAGGAGATGATCGAATTGTACAAAAAAGATTGTCTTAATAACAAGAAGAGGAAACATCAACATGATGATCATGGTTGCAAGAAGAAGCAGGTTTTGGAAGGTGATGAAGGGAGAAGGTTGAGGACAAAATAGATCAAATCAAGAAACAGATTCAGGTGGTCACGTCCAAAGATCAAGAAACAGATTCAGGGTTTTTCATGATTATTTTTTATTGTGACTGGAATTCATATACTAGTCTGCTTCCATATTCGTTCATGGATGGATGTGTCTTGTTGTTTGAATTGATTTTTAATCAAGACAACAAACTCTATTGATCTCTAGGTTTGGTTGTTATGGATAATGATGATTAATAATTTGCGGGGTGGTGAATATTCATGAAATTTTTTCTGGCAATGGCTATTGAATATGAAGAATAGATAATGATGAGTCAATGTGCTATGTTGGTGGCCTTCATTTTGTTGCTGGTGATTATGCATTTGTGGGACAATTCACTCTCCTTCCTCTATACATTAGCATTGGATCATCTTATATGAAGGATGATGTCTTGTGAAGTTTCAAATGTATATAGTCGTATTTTAATCTATAGTGTAACTGCATCCATGTGTTATTATTGGGCAAAGATAGAGTATCTTGATAAAATCTTGACACACACTTTTGACTTCTGCAGGGTGTTCCTTTGCTAAATATGCTACTTCTGAAGAACCCGACAAACTTGACAATTCTTTCTCCTATCCAGCATCTGAACTTGGCAACCCATTGTGTGGCGGCATTCCTCCTAATGCCAGGCCTCCAAAAATTTCACAAAATCTGGGATCACATTCTAGTGTTGGCATGCTTAGGTTAGGAAATCAGTTGCCTGTGGATATTATGTCTTCAACTCCAGTAAGAGCATTGACCATTTGTGATGTTATTACACATTGGTCTGCTTATTTTTCACCACTATTTGTATGTTTCTTAAATCTTATTTTGCGCACATAAACTTTCAGGGCTATATTGGTGGCTTTCCTGGCAATGTTGATGGTATGCATTTGGGACCTTTGGTTTCTTCTGCACCTATGTCACAACTGGTATGTAGAATAATTAGCTTATTTTAGCTGGATGGGGAATTGATTGTATATATCCTATCTTTAAAACTGAAATATATTTCCTTGTTGAATTTAAACCCTGGGTTTTCAATCAGCACAATACTTGCCATCTTCCTTGCAACTACAACCTTCGTATGCAACATCTTTCTCCACAACACAATGTGTTCATATGCCGTGCTCTGCTGGTCATACTCCTTGCAGTCAGGTTCCACAAATGCAACAGCTTCTTGGTTTTAGTGGGCAGTTTACAGTTCCTCAATCACAGATGCTGCATAATGCACCATCTGCCCCACAACAAGGACCCGTGATGAAAAATCTACGGCAAATACCTGCTCAGCAGTTTCAATCTCTTACTCAAGCACTATCACAGTTTGCTCAGATGCAGTCACAACAAAAACAAACTCAACAGGCAAGCTCTCAGTCATCACAACAGGCCTTTTCTCTGCTTCAACAGCAGCTGCAGATGCCGCAGTCATCAGACTGTATCGATTGTGCTACTGCTCAGTCTTGGTTTCAAACTGAAAGTACAGTCATAGCAGGAGTCGAGCAATTTCAACAGAGCTATATTGATAACAATGACGATTCTTCTCGGATTGATTCGTCAAACCATGGAAACACCTTGCTTCTTAGATTATCAACTAGATGAGATACATGGATTATCGTTTGGTCTATGTGGTACCAGATTTGAACTCTCTGCTGCAGAAAGTGATCCTTTCAGTACTGGAGGAGAATGGACAAATAATCAAATTTGCACATCTAGCAATGGACTGGATACTGGATTTGAACTGCCTCCAACTCAGTCAAGCCCACCAAGTTCATGTTTTTCAGACACAAGTATGCCATTGGGAGAAGAGGACGAGCTTGCTGTTCTTTTACAACAATTTCAGCCAACTACACCGACCCTCGACTCCTTCAACCCTGACTGTGGCTCAATGGATACGTTAGGGCTTTCATATGATGTAACAGTTCAGTAGTTTATACCCACACAGAACTCATCCAATCCTGCCGATGGAGTCATGGACTCATGGATACCTCTGTTTGCCACGTGCTGTTTAATGACTGTAGTTCATGCCAATTCATTTAGTACAAAGTAGCTTGTGTGTTTTTGCAGTTTGGATGTCAACTCCACACTTATTTTTTATTATTGCAATTTAAATCTTTGTTGGGTGCAAGATTTTTAGGATATGCTAAATTATAAACATCAAGGTTCCACTTCAAAGCAAGAATATTACTTTCAAACTGCAAGGTGTGCCTCGAACAAACGTTGTATCTTTGAAATTGTCTGGCTGATACGAATAAATATCCCATTATTAAAGGTAAACTTCCACGGAGAGGGGATAAAGAGGTTAATTACAACAGTCTATAGACATTTATATAACATGTAATATGTATGGTCATACGTAAGTAGAATATCGAGTTTGATAGCATTTAGCTAAAATCTGTTTTCTAAATATAGCGTTCTCGACAGAAGAAAAAAAACACAAGAATTGATTTTACGGAAATAGATTTATACACGCAATAGTGTGCTACTTTAGAGCACTGCTGCCACCTTTGTTGCAGTCTTGCAGGAATATTAGAGAGCATTACTGATAGCATTATGAGTCGTGATCATAATACCAATAACATAAATCCTTTCTTGCTACTCTATTGGGTACGTTGGTTCATTTACTAAAGCACCTAGAAAATAAGAATTAACCAATGTGATACACAATTACACCAATGGATCCCTTCATAAGTATCACTAAAAATTACAGGGGTTTCTCCTTGGTAATTTTCTTCATTCTCAGCCAGGTCACGGCAAACATATGATATTTTACATTGGTTAATGCCAATATGGCCTTATCCTTTCCTTTATTAGAAGGCAATCTATCTTAAAGAAATAACTTGGTTTCTTCTAAGTTTTAAATATGTCAATTTAATCAAGCAAAATGACTATAGTGCTCTTTTATCATACTCCCTTAGTCCCATAAAGATAGTCATGTTTTCCTTTTTTCGTCTATCCCAAATTATAATCCAATTTCTTATTTGAGAGTGTAATTAATATATTAGTTTTCTAATTTGCCCCTACTAATTGTGCTTCGATCACTCTATTATTCAATTGCAGTTGGAGCAATAAATTAAAAAAAAAAAAAAACATTTCATATTCCTTGACATTTATTCATTTGTATTTGTATTGAATGACTTTGGAATGTTAATTACATTGATTCTTTCATTAAACAATGACTAGTACCAAGAATAGTTTAATTTCATTGAATATTGCATGCATAATTTAATTAGCTTGAATATTGATTACATTAATGTAGGTGTATATTAGAAAAAATGTTTGTAAAATTTATTATTTAAATTATATTAATTAAAATTTTTTAATCCGCGTGAAAAAAGAAATATGACTATATTTATGAGATGGAGGGAGTATGTCTTTTAGGAAAAGTTGCAGAAAAATATTAGAATATCTAAATGGGTAATTACATTAACACCATAGTTCTTATTAGTTGCACTGTTTTTTAATCGTATTAAAAAGTCTTCGTTCTTTGTTTATTATCAAACATATGTCATCAACTTTTTTCCGTAGCATTTTATCAATCTTCCAATAATTAGAACATCTCATCACTTATCAAGGTTTTCATACATTATGGATTAATATCCCAAATTCTTTTTACTGATTTCAATTTCCGAATTAGTCGAAACGATTCAGATTAAAAATATAAAGAAGTTTTAGAAGTTTGATCAAGGACCACATGTTAAACGTTAAGAAGTATTTCCTTTCTCAATAGTGAAGGCTCCGGAGGTGCTTTTGTAGTTACATGGATCTTCCCTTCCCATCTGACACTTCCTTCGCCATTTCTATTTGTTTGAATCAAACCAAAGCATGTTTTCAGTTATATAACTTCTATGGCTCATAAGGGATTTAATGAATGATTATTAAACACACTGCAAGAAAAATTATTGGAAGGAAAAATAAAATAAAAAATCAATAATTATACAAATGTAGAAAACAAATTACAAACAAACACTGTGCAACAAAAGTTAAAAATAAAATAGCAATTTATTGAAATAAATTTATTTACCGTGTAAAGTCCCATCTTCAAATTGATGCAAAATAAAACCCTAACTGATGAGGCTTAATGTGGAGGAACAGGCGATTGCATATTTGGAACGCTTGGATTGTCGGCGCTCAAAGAAAGTGGCATAACTTTTGCATATGATGTCCGTTTTGGGCCCATAACCCCATTTCGGAAAGCTCGCGACAATTCCGATTGAACTCACTGCTATGTGACGTATGATGGATTTTGGGCGTTTGACGTCGTCTTCCTAGTCAAAACAGCATTTTAAGTTTCGTAGTTCGTTAATTTTAATCTTTATTTGTTTTGCTTTGTAGTCCAACCCATTTAGGGACTGTTGGCCCAGTAGGTTAACTGTTTTCTTTCATATTTAAAACTTTCCAAACGTTTGTAGTTTTTTGGTTGTTCAAGAAATAAGAAAAGGGCGTGAGTTTCTTAGAGATCAATCTGTTTTCATCTTATTATTGTTGGGTTTGTAGTTTCGAACTACATCAATGACCATAATGGTCATATATTGTGGAAATAC